GCTCTGAAATCACTGTGAACAAGCAAAGTTTCAGTTTGAGATTCATTTGTAAGTTTAATTTAAACAAGTTTAAATTTAATAAAAACTTGCTTTAAACTCAGATTCACAAATGAGTTTCCTTTACTAAACTGCGTCTGTAGGTCTCTGTTCATAAACATAAACTAGCCTAAACTAATTTACTATAAAATGAAATAGTGTTTGTATAAATTCAGAAAAAGACACGTCAGTCACAACTGCATATGAGTACATATTTCTATATTGTGGTCTGTTTACACAAAGTTAGGTTAGTTCATCATTTATGTTGAATAGACTCTCCCAAAATTTTACGCTGCTGCACTGATGTTGAACCGTGTGCTGCACTGGGTCGGTATGTCCAACAGGTCAGAAACAAGCTCAAAACAAAGTGCGCTGTGCCCTGATTGGTGTTCTTGCTTTGCACTTCTTTTATTTTGACATGTTATGTTTTTATGCACACATAAACCAAAAGGAACGACAGATTTCTCATAATGTAGTGGAGTAAAAAGTGAGAGATTTGACTTTGAAATGTAGTGGAGTGAAAGTAAAAAGTCACCAAAAATGGAAAAACTTCAGTAAAGATACACAAAAAATCGACTTAAGTACAGTAACGAATTACATTTACTTCATTACTGTCCACCACTGCTAATCAGCATTATTATTTCATGACGGAAATGTGTCAGGTTAAGCCAATTGGCCTGTTTTCAGCAGGAGCCCCTGGGCAGGTTGATGTTTATGTGATCATTAAATCTCACACATGCAGAACAAAATCCACAAGGCAGCATTTGAGGGGAATCCCAAATATTTTTTAAATTTCCTGTCTAATTAAATGTTTAAGACCCCTGGTTCCTATTACCACCACCGAAAAGGCTAGAAATCAGCTGTGCATGGTTATGGCTGCGGGTCCTAAGAGTTAAGAAGAGTTTGGCCTAATACATACTTTTAAATCATTTCACATTCATGGAGGAGGGATACATGCACGGCATTGTGAGGCAAAATAGCCCACAGCTTTCCACTATCCATCCAAAACTCAGAAGACTCATGTAGGTTCACTGGTGGTTTTGGATAGTAAATAAAATGTCTATATCTGTGTTGTAGTCCTGGCAACCCCTGGTTCCTATCACCACCACTGTAAAGACATCTGAACCATTTCACACCAAACCACTCTGAATCACTCTGATTACATCTCAAACTCCGAATAATAAAGACATTTTGAAAAATCACTTGGATTCCCCTTTAAAAGCTGCACAGAAAACAATCACACAAAAATGCAGAAAATCCCTATTGACCAAAAAAAAACGTTCACGTGAAATACTCAGTTAGACACTGAACGACGAGAGTTTGAGCCACTTGTGAACTTGTGAAAATTTGAGATCTGTGTTGATACTGTCACTACTAGAGGTTCTATGGTAGAGTCCCGGTTCTATCGAGAGGAGTTTGTGCCAAATTGAAATGCAGTGCACGCTTGACATTACTGTTCCATAGTGAGATGCAGGATACGTACTTAAAACAACATTAAATCAGCATAATGGATCCTTTACGTTTAATTTTGGCACATCCCAGAGGAAAGAAATATCCTAAATGAGATCTCCTCTTGATCTCAGGTTCTTCTGCTAGACCTGGTTCAGTCCAGTTTGATGTATGTTCTGTGATGTATGATAATGCACACTATTAGCAAGTTTCAGTCTGACTATACGATGCTGTGGAACAACTGATAAGTGTATAGTAATTAAAACTGTTTTTTTAAATCATCAGCTGTCGTCAGGACCCTTCTGTCGGCTCTAAAGCTGCCCTACACCGTAGTTTTGGCGATGTGTGGTTTTCTGCTGGGAACGCTCAGCTTCTATTATCCTGGGGTAAGCTCACGATCACAAATAAAACGGTTTTAAAAGCAAACAAGCAAAAGACTGAGATCCAGGCTGTTGTTTTGGATGAACTGGTCTTAACGTCTAACAAATCTCCAAACGTTTGTTACAGCTCAAGTTTTACTGCAAGCAAGAGTTTAGCGTTGCCTACATAGTTTCTCAAGCCAATTATTCGTTAAATTTGTGTGTTTAGAAATACCAGCTGTCCAGTATTACTTTGAGCTGCATTTATTAATGACGATTAATAAATACACAACATTTATCAAATTATTCAGCAACATCTCTTTTATGTGAAACCATCCATATAAAATTCATTTTAGTTTCTTTTTGCCTCCAAAAGTCTAAAAATGTCAGGTGATGCAACCATCCAACCGTATTTGTTGATAACTATCAAAAAAGGTATTTTAGTTAAATAAAATTCTAAATAAAATAGTTTGGCATGATTTGCATGAAAACCTTACAGTAAAAAGAAAAAGTCCAAAATCAGGTGTTTTAGGAAGGTGGTGAGGTGAGGTCAGTCTTATGATGTCAGTTCAGTGCGCTGCAGTGTTAGCTAGGAGCATTCATATCTCGACTTCTTAACCTTGTGATTCAGAGGATCTGGTGGCTTTCGGAGGAAAAGTGAATGTACGGCATCTAGGTCGGGGTGGTGCTTATGATTCCTAGTGTTTAGGAATGCACAATAATATCAGAATCACATCAGTATTGCAGGTCAATGTTGGTCATATCGTACTGGTATTGCTAAAATTGCCATTGGACAGATGGTTAGAATTGTCTGATATTTCAAACCAGTATCTGACTACTTATAAAACTTCGAGTGAGCTGAATGTTTAAGTGATGCTGGACTACTGCACTAAAATATCTGAATTTAACTCATTTTACTGCATCTATAACCCTTCAGAAATGTTATATTTCTCTGTAATATATATATATATATATATATATATATATATATATATACACACATACACCAATTAGGCATGACATTATTATTGTTGTGTCTGATCCACTCAGACCAGCGCAATATACACTAACACACCACCACGTCAGTGTTAATGCAGTGCTGAGAATGATCCACCACCCAAATAGTAACTGTAGAACTACAAAGTGCACCTATATAGTAAGTGGAGCTGATAAAATGGACAATGAGCGTAGAAACAATGAGGTGGTCATAATGTTACGCCTGATCGGTGTATATATGTCATTTCACCCATACTGAGCACATAGTGTACTACATAGGGTGTAAAAGCTGTCATTTTGTGTCGTATATAGTGGACTATAAGAGGAATGGTGGAAAGGGTAATAATTTAGATTTCTAATAAATTCTTTTATTTTTGATTTCTTACAGCTATTCAGCAACTGGCTGCATTTGAACTGTTAATAAATAAGCCACATTTTCTCTGGGGTGTTTGCGTTTTCCCTGAAACCATACAGGACTTTCGTTTTCTCTCACAATGTCAGTGTTTCACATTTGTGAAATATCACAAATGAGAGTGCCGTTTGTTGTTCTGTCAGCTGATATCTTGATGTCCCCCTTTTTTTCCAGGTCAGCTATTACACAAAAGAGATCGCAAACATCAGCCCCCAGATTTTACTTCACATATTCATGCCAGTGCTTATCTTCAGCTGTGCCTTTGAAATTGAGTCACACACATTTTGGAAATGTCTTATACAGGTAAGGTTGTTGTTTAGAGCCTGAAATGTCAATATGCCACTATCTGTGCTGTGCATTTGCCTCTGTACACATAATTCTTTATTGCTCATTTAAGGCCATTACATACCGAATGTGATGCAAATAATTGACACGAAAATGTGAAATACCCACACAGGGGCTTTGTTCACACAGCAGGTAAAAGTGACCCAAATCTGATCTTTTTCCTCATATGTGACACAGATGAATCTGACATTTTCAATTCATGCGACTTTTACGTCAATCCAACTCGACATTCGTCATAATTTCGCACTGCTGAGACCTAATAAACATTTGGGCTGATGTTCCTGTACTAAAAAATTAGAAGAGACTCATCGCATCCCCTCCGTGTTTGAAGAGGCAGCAGCGTCAAAGAACAGTTAAAAGTCTGAAAGCAAAGTTTAAAGAATCCGAGGACGCGACCCAAAGAAGTGACTGAGCTCTTTTTACGGCTCGAACACATTCTGGGTGATGAGCCCAGCTGTCAGTCAGTGATGCTTCATGATGGCTCCTGTGATGCTGGTGAAGATGAAGCTGATCCTCCGGGAGTGACTGGCGTTCGTTGGCAGTCGTGATTGTTTATCTCTGGATGAGTCGCGAGAAGCAGCGTGAGACGTTGTTCTTTTGCACATGTGGGTCAGTTTAGGAGCTGATCTGTTCAGACTGATGTCACATACAGATCACATTTAAAAGATAATGTGCACAACCAAACAGCCAACAGATTTTTGGTTACTTATTGGTTACTTATTACCATATATAAAATATGTATAAAAATAAAAAATGAAGATGAATGAAATAAAAACATAGGTGTTTTCTGGCTCACAGATTTGTTCAGATTTTTTGGCCCTTTTAATGGTTGAGTTTGATACTCCTGCTTTAAAAAGATCAAAATCAGCAAAAAATATAATGTACACAATTTCCTCCTTGCCTTAAATGTAGTTGATTAGCCATGACATGTTTTACAAAAGCTTTGCAAAATTCAGGCTTCAAGCTGGCTACTGTGTTTAGCTATGGAAATGTACTTTAGTCCATGTTTATAGATAACAGTGAGTCACACAGTGTCAAAAACCATATAATCAAGCCTGAGATTATTGAGCATCTCCACACGCTTTGATGCGTCTGTGATGATTAAGGCCTACATGAAGCTAATTGGTGGGGTTTATGCTTCAGTTACTTGTTAGCTACATTAGCCTCGTAGCTGCAGTGATGAAGCTAAAACAAACTTCGGATGCCGAACACGTCGTGGCTACATGTGGAGTGAGGAGGAGAAACTGTAAAATTGATTTTGTCTTTTAAAGATTTGTTTTTATATGAGTGCCCTTTCATTTGAACAGGTGCTGATTCTTGCGGTACCTGGGTTTTTACTCAGCACCTGCCTGACTGGAGTGGTAGTAGTGAAAATGTTTTCTGACTGGAGCTGGTACGTTGGCATGATGTTTGGAGCCATCGTCAGTACTCTCGACCCTTTCGTGACGGTGTCTCAGCTACACAGTCTCGGTAAGTACCTTCAGACATAATAAGAACAGAATCGCCACAAGATGTGCTGAAAATATTAGCAGTTAAATTTGGAATTATACATGCAAAACTGCGGGACCAGTAGTGCATTTATTTTAATCGATGATTGAGCTCAAAAGTCAAATTTACACGGTTTCCTCTCCTTAACCCAAATATAGACAACATGTTTCTTGTCTCTTTAGTTTTACACTGGAGCTATGTGGCTAATGTAACTAGCAAGTCATAGAAGTGTTAACTATATCCCTAAATCATCACACAGTCACATTAACTGGGTGGAGCTTTCAAATAATCTCATCAGACTCTTCAAGAATTTGCAAACTTGTGATCGTGAGAATTCAAGCAAACCTTGCAGGATTTGCCAGAACTCGTAGTTTAGTCCAGTCACTGCATTATTTCCGCACTAAACATGTAAATTTGTGAAGTGCTTTCAAAATTAAGTGTATAGCTTCTGCGCTATGTGCCGGAGGCCGCCGTCTCAGCAGCTCCGCCCACACGCAGACAGAGCATGTGATATCTAAGCTGTGGTGGTTTTGTCAGTTTCATTCTGTTTGCATATCTCTGTGTCGTCATTATCAGTGTGTTATGAATGTTGTCATCGGTTATTATTGGTGAATACTTTTGTCCAATGACAGGCTGTTTTCTTTTTTTTCCTTTTCTCTATATTCATTAATGTATATTAACTGTAAAATCTTATTCTCTGTTCATATCGCTTTTGTTGTGCTATTGTTGACCAGAGAAGGATGGGTTCCTCTTTTGAGTTCTTCCTCCTTCTCTTAGAGAGTTTTTCTTGGTGACGCTCACTGGGACTTGGACCTGGATTTTCTGTAAAGCTGCTTAGTGACTAAAATGCACTGTATAAATACATTTTGACTTGACTTTTGTAAGCATTTTAGCGTACCTTCAGAACGGTTTAAGATACAAACATGCTCCACATATCATTCAGCAGACCCGCCCCTAACTAGCAAGCATGACGTCATCGAGCTGCTTTTAGCCTTCATATTATAAACAAAGGGCTTACAGTTTACATTGAAATATATGATATTAAAAATATATGATATTAAGCATGCAACTCAATTTGTAATTAAAAATAAAGCCAGTCTTGCTGTGTATCAGAGTTTTAGCACTCAGCATGAATCCAAGAGGACAGAAAATCAATAAAAAAACATGTCCACCCTTATGCTAATGGTTTATTTTCACTGATAATAACCAGCAGAATGAATCAACATCAGAATTATTGCACTTTCAGCTCACAGACACTCCAGACTAACAGTTTCTGAAAAGATAACTACAACTGCCCTTGTTTTCAAGATCTCTATAATTAAAAAAATACAAAATTTAGCAGGCGTTACGTAAAATATTGATCAGAAATGACCCAAATTCAAAAAGATATCAAATTTCTGTTAGCATTTACATGGCATATCAAACAATGGCCCATGGGTCTCCTGAAAATAACAACATATGGCATGTGTAATTGTCACTTGTAAATACTTTGTAATTGCAATTGTAAAAGTAATTCTCATAAAATTTCCCGAAATTTTAGGTTTCTAAGGGTTAAATATAGATGCTCTACTTTTCTAGAACACGTCTCAAAGTGCTTCACAATACCACACCATTAGCAATAAACACAAAAATACTAAAATCCACACTGACCTAATTTAAGAGCTACTAAAAGCAAGAGAATGAGTCTTTAAACACAACTGAGTCTGAGTGTCATTGCTGTCATTGGGGAGATTGTTCCACAGTTTCAGAGTGTAAGCTGCAAAAAACACAGTCCCCTTTGATTTAATTTGGTGCGGGGGACACATAGTAGCCCATGGTTTGAAACCCTTACAGAAAAGATAAAGAGGTCACTAAAACATAAACGAAGCATAGTCTGACTTTTTAATGTAAAAAGTTATACAAAATAAAATAGAAAATTTTCAATTAAATTTTTTGCCCAAACATTGCTTTTAGAGATTCTTGCTTAAGTTGGCGAGCATGATGCTGTTTGTTTTATTTACCTTTAATGTGGCCCATAAATACAGCTGCCATCAGGTTTTAGTTTGAGGTTCCCAAAACTACTTTTATAGAGATATACTTTTACTGATTTTCATTCAAACCCTAACGTAACACATCTGGGTCTAATAATCTGATGCCTCTGACAACTGAATTGATCTGGCAGCGTTAAGAAGAAAGAAACAGTTTAACCAAAGAGCTACACAATGTATCAAAAGTTCAATACTTTTAATATTTTCAGTACGTTTAATTATTTAAATAGGCTACCACTGCATTTTGCGTACATTTTTAAAAATAAAGTTGCTCAAAAGTGTTCTTGAGAGCAAACATGCTACAATCAAACATACTAACTTAACTAAAAATTAATGAACCAATTAGCATTATAGCATTTGTATCACGCTAATTGGTGGCCTTTAAGTTTAATTCATTGTTAGCAACATTAGTTTTTTTTTCCCCGAGTGGTGCAAGCGTTGGCCCTGTCATCATGAGATCGCAAGTTTGATCCCCGGTGGTGCTACAGCCATCCGTGGCCAAGAGAGCACTATTGTTCTCGCTCTCTCTGGGTGGGCAGAATGGCCCCCCGTCTCCCCATCACTCAGCACAATGCTAGCCAGTGCAGGCGTCTGTTAGCTGACGTAACAGAACTGGTGGTTCTCCGAGCGCATTTGGCTGTCCGATGACGTTGTGTTAGTGGCAGTTTGAAAACATGCGGTGGCGCTTCACAGGTCTCGGAGGAAGCCTGTGCTCGCCTTCGCCCTCCAAGTGCTGGTTGGTGTAGTGCAGTGGGTAACACCTCTGCCTTCTACGCTGTGGACTGGGGTTCAATCCCTGCCTGGGTAGATACCCTACACTATACCAATAAGAGTCCTTGGGCAAGACTCCTAGCACTACCTTCACCTACCTGTGTAAAATGATCAAATTGTAAGTCGCTTTGGATAAGAGTGTCTGCTAAATGCCGTAAATGTAAGTGCTGGTAGTATCATGTGACTGGGTGAGTCCTAACTAGCGGGTGGAATTGGAGATGACTAAATTGGGGGAAAAAAAACTATCCTTGTAAAAATAGTCTTTCTTTTTGACAGGAACGGCCAAGCCTCTGATTCTGATTACAGAGGGCGAGTCTTTGTTTGTTGACGGCACCGCCTTCATCACATTTGAAGTGTTTAAAGACCTTGCCACTCATCTGAGTTTCATTGATGGTACTTTTTGGCTCCTTTGTAAATATTCATCTATTTTTCTCGTTATCTGTTGTTCAAGGTTTCTAAACATATCTGCTCTTTTCATCCCCAGCTTCATATTTCACTCTGAAACTGGTTCTGAAGGTTTTGGGGAGTCCTCTTATTGGATTTATTATGTCAAAGATTGTTACCTTTTGGCTGTCACACATCTTCGATGATGGTCTCGTAGAAATAACGATCAGCCTCGCCATGACCTACATCACATTTTATCTGGGTAAGTGATTTCTGAAAATGTTGGTTTAGTTTGTAAGCTGAATTTATGACTTGTTCATTTTGAACACATCTCTTTCTCTGTGCCCCATATGAAAGGCATGATCTTCAGGTTAAAACACTTGTTTTTGTCCCTGAGCAGCTCAGTGGTTGGGCATGTCTGGAGTTATTGCAGTTCTTATAATGGGGCTTCTCCTGGACACGGTCACCTTCAGTCCTGAAATTGAAGTCTTTCTGTTACGGTCAGTATCTTAAAGGATACTCCAACATTTTCAACCTAACATCTGTGTGTTGATTCTGTAGTGTATGGTTGATAACCACAGACAATACTTTGAATTAGGGATGCATCGATACTGATGGCGATATCAAGTATCGGCCAATACCGCGCTCCTTTATTTTTACTCATACTCTCAAAATATGCACCAGTACCAGTTAATACCATCTGACATAAGCCTAGTGTAGCTGCCGCGCTGATCAACAGACGACTTGAGCTGGCAGTTGAAGAATCCGAACCCCGGCCCAAACTATGTCTGGAGAATTGAAGTTTATTTTTGCGCACAGGTACCAGACACCTAGCCAGCCCATAAAACAATGAACTGACACAGTTTTATAGCTGGACTGATGCCAAGATTAGGCCCAGCCTATACATAACAAGTGAAAGAATGTTCTAAAAACAGTCACGGCACGAACAATACTGAACGTCATGACACATAACACAGCACTAAACACGTTACATAGCAAAACACTCCTTCACAGAGAAGGAGGCTCTGCTCGCACGTAGAAGTTATTGACTCTGTTGCAGTTGGGCACAACATTTTGGAATTGTATGGGCCCTGCCTGCACGAGGTGCCATAAGTTCAGGAACTCCAATTCCCAGAAGCCCTCGGGCTGATTAGGCCCAACCTGGCACACTTGTGGACTCCTCTACTTAAGACTGTGGCAAACAGCAGCCCTTTGTCACACCTTTGTAGAGGGGTGACCGGTACGGTACTTAGCCCAGGTGGGTATTTAAACAAAAAGAAAAGAAAAGGAAAGGAAAAAGATAAGAAAAGAACAGAAAAGAAAAGAGGGCTGGAAAATCAAGAGAGAAATTGGCCCAAAACTACCTAAAAGCCAAAAAGAAAACTTGAGCAACAAACGGCTCCAAGCCATACAAAAGGTGTTTGCTCTGCAAAGAGCAAACCGGTGAAACATAAAGTCTGCCTTCCTCTCAGAATCACAGAGGAAGTGTTTTTTGTTTTCTGATTATCTTTTATCACTTTTCTATCTCAGCCTTTGTTTGAGTGCTGCTTTCAGCGTCCCCTTCGTTTGCCTTTTTCCCACCATTTTTTTATTTCCCATTCGTTGAGGTGTTTTTCCTGTTGTTGCCTGTGCTTCCTGGTGGTGCAGCGGTAACTCCTTGGACCGCCATTCATTACATTGGCAGTTCGAGCCTGGCTCTGAGCCACCTCAACTCCAATAGGCACAATCACCAAATTCACACTCCATCACCTCAGTAAATTCATTTAAGACCCTTTCTCACCTTTCCTCTCTGTACTTGGGTCCGCCTCCCTGCCGTCCCGAAATAACATCACGGCTGGGATGAGCTACAGCCGTGATGTTATTTCGCGATAACACACTCCCTCTCATTTTCTGTTGCTTTTGTCTCACATTGCTTCTTGTTTTATGTTTTTTATGTGATGATGATATTGAGATATTGACAGTTTTCCCTGTTTTCCTGATTTTGTGCAGATTCTGGGAGATGTTGACGTACCTGGCCAACACTCTTATCTTCTTCGTCATTGGCATCGTCATTGCCCAGGCGTTTCAGAACATGGCTTTTAGTGACTTTTTATACATTCTTAGTCTCTACTGTGCTGTTCAAGCGATAAGGTACTTCTTAAACCACACATGGAATGTTTATTTTCTTCCTTGTTCACTGTTATTAGTTTTAACTTATGAAGTATACTAAATAGATGAAGGTTTTTACTTTATTATTATCATTACCTGAGTAAAGGTATTGGAAGCTGAGGTATAGTAACATGTGCTGTCCCCTGAATGCTCTCAGGCTGGTGACAGTTGTTCTGCTTTCACCGCTGCTGTCCCGCTGTGGTTACGGCTTTAACTATCGCTGGGCCTTGGTTTGCTTCTGGGGGGCAACTAAAGGGGCTTTCTGCCTCAGCCTCACCCTCATGGCTTATCAGGCAGAAGGCCTGGACAAGTTTCAAGTTCGAGAAAAGGTAGTTAGACTTATATTAGACCTTATTCATATGTTAACTCATGTGATAATCAGTGGCAATAGCTCACATTAATACAGACAGACATCTAATGAAATAGAGCAGAATAAATTTATAGGGAAGAAATAAAATGAACAGCTCAAGTTGTGAAGATGTCATATATGCTGTGTATAACATATTTTGTTGCTTATTTCTTTATTTGAAATACATTCATCCTCTGTATTCCAGATTTTAGTGCTTTCCTCCGGAATGGTCCTTCTCACCCTTATTGTTAATGCAACCACAATGAATATGTGTCTTAAAGTCATCGGTAAGGTTTAACATTGACAATCTCTTGTTTGGTCGTGTTTTAAAGAAAATGTGTATTATTTTGGTTAAGAGACCAAAAGAAAGTGATTTTTAATGTGTTTTGTGCCAAGATTCTCAGGGAAGTCGGGACGAGAGTTTTAGAAAATGTATTTAATGCTACAGCCAATAGCTCTAGGAATTCAGATGTATAACTTGAGCAATCTTTATCCATCGCTGGGCAAAGTTCTTCATCAGTAAAAGTTTGTAAAATAATAAATGTATACTTCTATATTAATGAACAACGTTGTTTGCAAAATTTAGGCATGTTTTTTTGATTTTCTGTGTGAAAATAGGAACATATACCATAGAACATACTACATATGCCTTCGGTCAGGGCCTTTTATTGTTACATATTTATCATATTATTAATAAATTAAAAAATATACTGTCGCTGTCAGAAGAGAACTTAATTTTTCTTAATTTTTAATTCTTAATTTTTTTTAGTGTCTTAATTTTTCATTTTTTTATTTTTTTAAATAATTTGCTGAAAAGTGTATATATATATGTACATATATATATATATATATATGTATATATACATACATATATATATATATATATATATATATTATATAAATATATATATATTGCTGTTGTCAGAAGAAAACCTTCACAGGAGAAGGAAAAAACCTACTTTACTTTTAATGTAAGTCAATGGAACCAGACTTTTTTCCAAGTAATTTTGGGTCATTTCTTTTGGTCCGTTCTTCACAAAATTTACACACAAAGGGTAACAGGCATTTTCACATTATGAATTATTATTTCACATTATTTATATTTATATGTAAGGATTCGCAGAAGTTAATCTGTGGCTGATAGAGCAAAACTGATTGCATATATGAATTTTGTATACAACACAAATGAGTTTGTACATGATAGAACATGTATTTAACTGTATTTAACTGTTGTTGGCTGTTTATTTTCACATTGGCAGGCATGTGTGATATTTTAGAGCCTAAACGCCTGGCCATGAACAGCGCGCTGCTGCGCATGAAGGAGAACGCTCAGAGCACCCTCAACATGCTCAAAGGTGACCGGTTTCTGGCCGATGCCAACTGGGAGATGGTACAACATCAAGTGCACATCGATGACCCATACAGAACTCCAGACAATATGGTTTGTGTGAGAAAAGGACCACACTTACATTTTCAGACCGTTCATCATTCACAACTGCAGCAGTTCTCAATCCCAGTCCTTGGGACCCCATGCAGATCCCACTGAACCCACACTGAAAACGTGGCCCATTGACTTTACATCATTCAAAGGTGTCAGTTGATTCCACATGAATGAAATATGTAACATCAACATAAATGTATTATAGCCGCATACAGCGCTGCAGCTGGGCTTCAGTCTGCACTGGTACGGGTGGGTCAAAGGGTCAAACTAGAAAAGTTAGTTAACAGCGTTAAAAATCAATGCCGTTCTTATTTTACAGAAACATCTGTTTAGTTTTTTCATGTTTGTAATTTTCTGACATCAAGACAAACGGAAAAGAGTCAAAAGCGCGGACTCAAATCTGTTGAAACAGAATGTAAATCAAGCTGTAAATCGTCCCCTTGGAATTATAAAGTTCTGTCTGACCTTTTTATCAAAATTGAGTTTTTCACTGTTCTTAATCTGAGCCAACTTCTTAACGTGTAACGGTTCCCTTTGAGGGTGAGAGGAGTTAGGACACCGGGGACAGGTGTGGAGACGGAGAGCTTTTCTTGTAATTTACGTAACACAAAATCACTCTGCTTTTCAGCCCACATACAAACCTTTGGTCAGCTTAGCTCTGCTCTCGCGTCTCTGATGGCCTCCTTCTCTCTGGGCTCTGCCACCTACTGAGGAAAGAAATGGCTATAAGTAGGCTGGCAGAAACAAGGCACAAGTGAATGTCATCAGCTACTTAGCCCGCTGGTTCAGCCCGACCTGCTCTCCGTCCTGCGTGTGACGCTCGGCAGTGCCCCCTCCTCCACACATTGTCAGGTGTTTTCTAAGTTGTGTGCATTTTTGGACTCTTTATGTAGAAAACAAAAAGGTTCTCCAAAGTTGAACTTTAACTAAGTTCTATAAGGTTCTATCTGCGAGCCCGTCAGCACTTCGAGAGGACCAGTCAGGTACCCAAATTGAGTCTGGCTGCAGACGTGCACTCTCAGCCCCAGTGACGTCACGTGCACATGCACTCTCTGCCACAACGGCAGAAGCAGCCCAACAGCACGGTAACGTCTGGCTACTGCTGCTTAGCGACATCATCACTTAATCCGTTTTTCATCCATAACTCGTGAGAGAGTTACATTTAATGTCCCTCCCTGTTGAAAAAAGTTATAGAACCCATTAAAAGTGTCTGTTGGTTCCTGGTGGTTTTCAGTAGTCGCTAATGGTGTTCTGTGTTTTCCTGATGGGTTGATATCACAGTGTAAAGGATACTGATCATTTGATTGGTGTTTTGACTGATTCCAGTTACATTTGATCGTTTCGTAATGGCCTCTAATGGCAACCATCAAGCCAATTCCTGTTAGGAAGCAAAACCATCAGGATTTATTCCTGACGGCCCTGCAAACACAGCTACATTGAGAACGTACTGTTTCGGTGCCCACAGCGTCGTCTGCTTGGCGCTTTTCTACATTGTCACAACGTTGAAATGTAATTCCTCAGAAAGTTGTGACAACATTGTCTGACAGCTTTCTAGGAGGTTGTGACGACATTGACGAGACAGCAAAAATAATCGGTACTGCGTTGCCTGTTTGTTGTCGCAACCTCCTAGAATCCTTAATAAGCTCTATTTTAATCAATATTACAGTTTTTTATAACCGGTTCTAATCGCCTTCATCATGGCTTTCATCAGTTTCAGTATCCTTTCTGTTTTTTTTGTGACTAAACCTGACGTTCATGTTTATCATCGTAGTAGGTTTTATTTTTAAAGTTTCCATATTTAATTACCTTTTTACCAGTATGACAGCATTAATATGTGTTCAGTGTAACTCTTGTTGCCAAGCAGTATGTGGTCGTGGCAGAGCGGCATCAATAGGCTGGCAGTGCATGTCAGGCTGAGAGTGCATGTCTGCAGCCAGACCCTTCTCGAAGGCTCTGCTTCTTTGTCCTGTCGCCGCTCTGCTCAGTGACCGCGGGAAAAGTTCAAAAAACTTTCTGAAACATAAAAACATGTTGCTGAAACTCTGCCTGTCTTCTTACAACTTTATTGTCTTAAATTCAGCCTTAAAGGAAATTAAATAATAAATATTTGAATTCATAGGCTCTTAATTACAACACAAACATTGATTTCATTCATTCATCCATCTCTTCTTTTTCTTCTTTTTCTAAAATAAGACATTTTGGGTCATTAGACTCACATTTCTGATACAAAAGAAAACCTCACACGGCCTTTAGACTGACCTGCAAACTAACCTGCTGGGACAGTTTTTTACAGCAGCATCATAAAATGTCATAAAGAGCTTTAAATGTAACTCTCTGATAATGTAGACACTCTGTTACAGCACTAATTTTATATTCTAAACAAATTATGAAGATAAACTGTTTGTGTTCCTTGAAAATTGTTTTTATTTTCATGTTTTGCCAGACAGAGCCTTAGAACTCCAAGCAGAAAGTGAGTTCTTAGGATTAAAGGTTCTTTCTGCATTTGGCCCAAAAACTCATTTACAAATTTGATAGGAATTTGATATTGTATACATTTAAAATAAGTTTAGAGTGTCTGTCATTTTAATGTATAGAAGAGACGGGTTCCACATATCAGTTCTGCTATTTGGAATTAAAAATCTTTGTAGCTCAGTATTTCAAAACTGCCCAAAACGCAAACAGAACCTTATAATTACATTGGGCCGAAATTCATTATGCAACTATTAATTAATTAATGCAACTATTAATTAATTATACTATTAATTATGAAATTCTGTATAAGTAATTATGAAATGTAAATTGAATGTGTAGCAAAATGACAGTAATAACTACATTTATAAGAGTTAACCCAACATGCCTGACTTAACCCTTCAGATATTTATAAGTCATTTATTGGTCTAAGGAGAACAGCGCAAGCCTGGGGTTCCTGACTGGCGTTGAACAGTTTGTGGAGGAGTTAACTGATGATAAATGGTCTCTAAATCTTTTATCTCTAGGTGAACATTGAAGAGTTCAGTCCCAGTGCGAGGGTCACCAAGTGTCCAGACTGTGACAGTAGCGTCCGCTTAGCCCCGTCGCCACGGGAACTGGATGATATGATGGAGGCGGCCCGTGTGCGCATCCTGACAGCCCTAAAGGTTCGTACATGCACACTTACACACTGTAAATGATAGCAGTATATTTAACTACCTAGTTTTAAAGTAAGTAAACTCAACAAAATGTTCATTATTTTGAAATAAAAGACTGTAAACATTGTTTAAAATACTGTTAATATTATACCGTTTACTTCCTAGTCCATTGTCACATTTTCATAAGTCACCTCTCCAGCGTACAGCAGGACAGCCAGTCAGAACAGTGCTCATTTTCACATATTGGTTTTAAAGTCACAGCAACAAAAACAGCCAGTTTAATTGTAAGGGATACAAAGAGGTTGAAAAGCTATCATGTAAAATAGTTTATATTATTGGTGATAAACTTACAAAAGCTTATTTACTCAAACAATTTAAATGTTCAGAGAATAAATGGGAATAAAAAGCAAATATTAGTGAATTTCTAGCAAATATAACTTAGAAACGGTGGTGGACTGTAACAAACTACATGTTCTTCGGTAATGTTTTTAAGTACTTTTTTCAAGTATCTGTACTTTATTGAAGTATTTCCATTTGTTGATACTTTTACTTTCACTAAAACACTTTAAAGTAAAATGTTGGAGGGGAGAATGAAATTTTCCCTGTTTTCCATAGCAAGTTACGAGAGGAAGCATGATTATGTCTATAATATTTTAATAATTGTTTAATAAAATTTTCTGTGTTATTTGATGATGGGTAGAATAACTCACAGCATTTTTAGAACACTGGAAAGCAAATATTTTTGTACCTTAACTCCAGCAGAAATAGAAATGGAGATCTAATTTTACCCAAGCACAATTTCTCCAACTTATCCAGACAACCATTTTCTCATTTTTTAAAGTAAACTCAACATTTACAGTTTACAGTGTACGACACCAATAATAATAACAGTAACAAAAAGAAAAAGAAAAAGGAGAAATAAAATTTATATAGCTCCTTTTTCAAACCCAAAGATGCTTTACAAAAGTAATAAGATACACAGTAAAACATGCATATGGAATTATTCTGTGGATTATTAGCTGCTCAAAAGAACATGTTGAATGCAGGGGCTTTTCAAAAAATTTTCTTTTACATTTAAATTGTTTCTTTGGAAATAAATTTGTACATTGGCACCAACTTTTCAATTACTATATGTTTTAGAAACTATTTCAGGTGTTTAAGGATAACCCTTTACATCTAAATGTATTTAAGATTATGAAAAATATACATTTAATCAGGTGGATCTACAGTGTTCTGAGTACAGGGATGCCAAAGTGCCACAGCCAGTTAACCCTCCTCAGTTCTGTTCCTGCCAGCAATAACAAAGCTGTGCTGTAATTTGAATTATTTCAGACTTGTAGCTCATTGAAACAAGTGGATAAAATGTGAGTAAAGTGCAGATTCTAATCTTTCGTATTTAGTTATGATTTGAATTTGATGAAAAGTTAACAAATGGAATTCATAATAATAACAACAATAATATTAATAATAATAATAATAATGATAATATAGCACCTTTCATAAAAACATGCAGCTTAAAATGCTTCACAATGACATCAGATAAAACATTAAAATCATGAATGTAAAACAGTGAATAGCAAAATAAAAAAATAAGCAAAATAAAAACAATTGGGGAAAGAAAATGCTTTTTAAAATGGTAATAGTAATAAGAAATAAAACCAAATATGAACATATATAAAGAAAATAGAACAAAGAATAAAGGGAATAAAAAATAATAACAGAAGAATTAATAAAATGAGTTCATAATTTATTTTGATAAACTTTGATAAAAAGTTTCCAGCTGCTTTTTAAAACTAGTAACAGACGATGCCTGACAAATATTAATTGGTAAAGAGTTCCATATTTTTGGTGCATAAAAACACCAAAAAACTAAATTTAGAATAGAAAATGAAAGCAGCTCCTTTCCTAATACTTAAAGACGGTTATAATGTTCAGAATATGGCAAGCCCTACTGTTTGCTATAAGCCAAAACAATTTCAGATGTGCTGAAGTAAGAGCAGGTAGTGAACCATATCAGCCTTATTTCCAAACCCCACTGAGTCTAATTGAACCTGACTCGTTCCATGTTCCTCTCTCGCTGTGTTCTCTTCCACCGCGGCTTCATCAATTACTCTATTACATCTTCCCCAGTCAGGACTGACGAGGTTATGATGTCGCCCCAGGGTCACAGCGGGCTCCAAAAAATCCCAAACCCAATCTCATGCTGCGCGTAACGCAGTTAGCATTGAGATAGCGCGGATGGGTGAACGGGACGGAGGTGGGTGCGCGCACTGACTCAGCCCCGTTTGTCTTCAGATGCTTTACTGTCTGCTTATCTTCAGGAGAGCTACTGGAAGCAGTACAGCTCCGGAATGCTGAACAGGGAAGCCACAAGGATCCTCATCGACACGGCCGAGATCATGACCGACCACAAAGGAAAGTCAGTGATTCACCACACCTAGACCCATTACTCAGCTTTTGTTTGGTGGGCTTTGGAACATTATCTTCTCTTATCTCTTGGCTGTGAGACATAACCACCGTCTTTTCATCCAGTGGGTCATCTTTGTTTTCTCCAAGACACGGTAGTTAGTGGGCTTGAGGAAAATTGGGTCATCTCAGTTATATATATGAGGTGCTACAGCCTATGACGTTTCACAGCAAAGTACGCTGAAAAAAGTGGATTGAATTTATGCAGTAATGTACATAATTTTCACATGAATCACATTTGTATCTAAATGGTAACTTTACAGAAGGAAAAAAACAAATTTTACTTATAATGTAAGTCAATGGAACCAGACTTTTTTCCAAGTAATTTTGGGTCATTTCTTTTGGTCCATTCATTCTAAATGGCATTTTCACATTATGTTAAAAACTGAAAAAACTACAGAAGTGGAGAAGGTAGGTTTTGTTCCGACAGCAGCGATATTGAAGCAATAGAACACGAGAGGGAGTGTGTTATCGCGAAATAACATCATGATTTGGTCGCCGTAGATCATCACAGCCGTGATATTATTCACAATAACACACTCCTTGAGTGTTCTATTGCTTTTATACAACAGTTAAATAAATAAAGAAATAATAGTAAATAAATTGAGCTGTGAACGCGGCGTTTAATATGGTTTAATGTTAGCAACCGCCAAATTATAGTTCCTTAACAAGCAGCTTGTTGTTATGTCAGAGTAACGAGCTCCGCCCACTCGCTGCACAGCCGGCAGTTCGTTCTCCAGCTCCTTACACTAAATTCCCAAACTGTCATCACCACTGAGCAGCTTTTCAGTCGGTAGCTGTGACAGAAGAACAGCTAAACCACCTGGAATCAGCCAGAAATGAACCCAATACCATTCACCAAACGTGTAGTCTGATCTTCAGAGTCCGACCAAATCGGGCTGACCCATAAAGCTGCCGCAATATCAAGTTCAGCTCAGTTTTGTCAGTTTTTGCCAGATCAATGTTAATGTTGTTTTGTTCCAGCCGGTCTGTAAAGCATCTTACAGCCCATTTAGTTTGGCGAATGGTGTTGGGTTCATTTCTGGCTGATTCCAGGTTGTTTAGCTGTTCTTCTGTCTCAGCTGCCGACTGAAAAGCTGCTCAGTGGTGATGACAGTTTGGGAATTTAGTGTCGTCTCATCTTCAGAGTCTGAAACAAATCGGCTGTCGGTCAAATGTGATCTTAAAAGTGTCCATTTTCTGTTTGTGGCAAAGTAAGAAGTAAAAACGTTCAAATGGCTTGAGCGTCTCCTACAGCTGTCAAAGACGTTGCTTAGCAAGGAGCGGAGTGATACAGTGTTACAGTGTTTGTGAAAAAAACGTGATGTTATGGTGATATAACAGCACAGTTAGAACGCTTCTCAACCAATCGGCTCGCGTGGCCGGAACTAACTGTTGTATAAATAAATATATTTTTTATAGAGAACTCTTAGGAGCCTAAGCACATTATTTTAAACCATTTATCTGGGCAGTAAGTTTGCTTGTGCTTGTAAAAACACCACATATCATTAGAATGAATACAAATGAGCATAAATACAGTAAATCCTATTTCAACAACAAGAAAACCAGAGTTTCTTGTTTTCAAAAATAGTAGTTGATATCTTCTGAGCGAGTCTCTTGGACGCCGACCATCACATGGATTTGTTAAATTCAATATCCGTCTTGATTTAATGTAAAGAAGTACTGATCACACAAATCAGGTATTGGATGATAACTACAAATAATACTGTGCCTCCTTGAGGAGCAGTTTAGAAAAGGTCAAATGAAAACTTTGCCATACATAAAATCACTACTTATTTATATTATTTGTATTTGTTCTTTTAAATGTAGATTTTTTTATTTATTCCCCTGAAAATAAGAATCAGGTAAACTGATTTTTATTGTATAGAAAATATTCTGCTGTTCTTTTTGCACAGTTTACACAACAGCTTTATTTTAGTTGCAGTACTGCATCAGAGATGAGCTGTAAGAAGGGCGTAAGCAGATTTGAGGTACCTGACCTCAGTAATTGCCCCCAATCATGCACTTAAACGTCATGATGTATGACTTTAAGTGTGCTCGACACATTATGACCTCAGTTATGAGCATTTCACTGCATGTCAAAAAACAAAAAGTAATTCAGCATTTTCAGAGATATGATATGTAATGTACAAAATGCATTGATTTAGGGAGGGAAATGACTTAGGGGAGTGTAATATTTGTTTCCTAGTGGCGGGGTTGTCCTACAGGCATAATTATGGAGGTAAGCAGTGAATTTTCCCGAATATTCCTTTGGTTTAGACTTGCTGTAGTTCGAATGAGGAAATCAGATGGATCTGATTTTAGCTGCAATAAAACTTGTTGTATAAAACTCATGGTTTCACTGTCCTGTGAAGACAAAACAGCTCTGGACTGCCTCACATTTTACTTTATGGTTACAGTACATAGTTAATCTTTCAGCACTTAAAACAAAGCAACAGACAAACCACTGAAACTGAGATGAGGCTGTTTCTGCTTCAAGCTCGAACACTTGAGTGAGCTGTACACACTCCACTCGTCATCATTGTTATTGTTGTTGCTTTGTGTTTTATCGCCTTCCTCTAATGTGTAACCATCCTTAGTCTAAAGTAATTAACAATCTCTTAGTGCACCTCTATTACTCGGATTGGGTGTGTTAAATAGAGGACAGATGTAATTCAGAAATGTTGGCTTCCCTCAGGTTCATGACTGTGCAGGATATAAAGAAGTACTGGGAACCGAAAGGATTTCTCATAGCTCTGCAGAAGAAATTGGAGGACTGGCTCTATAACGTGAACATCGAGAAGCTGAGTCCTTCACGGTAATTCCTGAAAACCTATTACTTCTGAATCACACAAAATACACCTTACAGCTAGATACAGGACATAGTTTCCATGGGAATTGCGGGGACTTTTCAATGTCCTGTTTTGGCCCCAACCCTCTATTTTAAAAGTGATCTAGAGTAGTATTTCCCAGCCCTGGTCCTGGAGGCACACTGCTTTGCACATTTTTGTGTTTTCACTGTTTCCAACACACCTGACCTAGCTAATCAGCTCCTTAACAACCCCTTACTGAGTCGTAGTGAGCGTGGTAAAGCAGATAAAGCACTGAAATGTGCAGGGCAGTGCGTCTCCAGGACCAGGGTTTCCAAAAACACTAATCAGGAGCTTGTGTGTGAAATCTGTAGTCAGTGCAGGTCTGTTCTTATTGATCAGTATGATAGAAATAAAATTGTAAAGTGGCCCATTTCCATGGTTACCGTACATCCATTTCCATGGTTATACTGTGCCTATTTCCATTGGTTACCTTACATCCATTTCCATGGGTACCCAATGTCCATTTCCATGGTTATACTGCGCCCATTTCCGTAGTTACCGTACGTCCATTTCCATGGTTATACTGGGCCCATTTCCGTGGTTACCGTACGTCCATTTCCATGGTTATACTAAGCCCATTTTCATGGTTACCGTACATCTATTTCCATAGTTATACTAAGCCCATTTCCATGGTTACTGAAAACCATTTCCATGGTTACACTGTGCCCATTTCCATGGTTACCGTACATCCATTTCCATGGTTATACTGTGCCTATTTCCATTGGTTACCTTACATCCATTTCCATGGGTACCCAATGTCCATTTCCATGGTTATACTGCGCCCATTTCCGTGGTTACCGTACGTCCATTTCCATGGTTATACTAAGCCCATTTCCATGGTTACTGAAAATCCATTTCCATGGTTACACTGTGCCCATTTCTATGGTTATACTTGCACATTTCCATGGTTAGACTGAACCTATTTCCATGGTTACCGTACAACCATGACTACACTAACCCAATTTCTGTAGTTTCACTACATCCACTCACCCATTTTCATGGTTACACTAAACCCATTTCCATAGTTACACTACACCCACTTCCACAGTCACACTACACTTATGGTTACGCTACACCCATTTCTATGGTTACTCTATGCCCATTTCTATGCTATACTCATTACACTTCAACAGTGTAACATACTCTGGCTACGCATTACCTGATTAGTAGTGAACGTCCACTCTGGAAATCAAAACTACACCCAGTGCAACTAGCAATATTTTGCTTTCTGAATCGCTGAATCTTGTATTTGACTGCAGGAGTGCCGTTCAGAAGCTGTGCTGCCAGATTGTCTTCAGTGTCCCCTTTGAGTCTGTCATTTACGTCTTAATCCTGCTCAACATTTTTCCCATCATTATTGAGTTTGTCCCTGTGAGCAGCGATGAATACAGCCAGGAGCTCCACGTGGTGAACTGCATCTTCTTTAGCTGCTATGTTGCTGAAGCTGTACTAAAGGTAGGATGTATTATGGTACCATTTGTGTTAAAACAGTAGGTGTTTCACCACTTCTGTATATGTTTCCACAGGGACTGGCCATGAGGAAAGCTTACATTTTGAACCCCTGGAACCAGTTTGATCTCTTTATCATTGTACTGGCTGTTGTAGATATTGTCATTAATGACTGTGTCGCAAGCTTTAAAGTGCAAATGATCAGAATCGTACGAGTGTCTAAGATGTTCCGCCTTACCAGAGTCCTGCGTCTGATTAAGGTATGCTGAGTTCCACTGATCTCTTTAGAGTTGCAATCAAAAGTACTGATGTTAATAGTGAAGATATTATTGAATCTTGAATAGTGAAAATACAGTGCAGGGTGAGGCTGCATTAGTAGCGTCACAAGCAGGTTAATGCAGTGTACAGCTATATGTTGTACATATATAACTTGGGATAGTATGTAATTGTACATTGTACAATATTTTTCTTTTTGGCACTGGAGTTTACACTCTACAGTGTTTTGGCCTGTGGGAAGAAACGGTCCCTGAGTGTGTAATACATTCTAATTCTGTTTACCCTTAGATTATTATTCCCAAGCTGATAACATTAGTCGAGCATCAGATCCATAAACAGCTGAGCCTTGGCTATGACATCGGAAAAGGCTACATCCTCGGTGAGGAGGACATCAGCAAAATCATAGACCACATCGCTGATGACCAAACAGTCTCTAAGGTCTGTTTATGAAGGTTTTTTGTCATTAAAGCACTCAGGGCTACACAATACACACAAAATACAGTGGGGTCCAAAAGACCACATTGAAAAGAAGTTTCAGTACTTTTCAGAATTTTGAAAAAAAGTGAAACCAAGAAAAGTTATGACAAGTTAAATAAGTTAGAAATAGTCAAGATTATGCAATATTTCTGAGAAGATGTTCAAATTTAGGCAAGTTTGTTATATTGACAATATTAAGGCCTCTTTTTGTCTTTTCCAGTGAAGCTCGTATTCAGAAAACACTGGAGGATTTGATCTACTTATCAGAGGCTTTTGCAGACATTTGTGGAGTCCATGCCAGCTCAAGTGCACACCGTCATTAAAGCGAAAGGGGAACACACAACCAAATACTGAGAAATTCTGAAATTCATTTAGATGTTTCAAAGACTCTACTACTTACTTGCACTATTGTGCTGATAATATAGTTTATGATATAGTTTAATAAATAAAAAATGTTTTAAATTAGAAAAGAATGCAAAATAGAAGCCTGGACCCCACTATATTGTCAGTTATGTAGCTGAATATTGCGATTACAGTATGCAGTATATAGATAGCAGAACTGATTTTTTTATGTACTTATTTATTCTTTGCTTATTTGTTATATTTCATTTTTTTTAATTGATTTGCCTATTAATTTATTATTCCCTTTGAAATCTGGATTGAAATGTGTACAGTACTGTGCAGATGTTTTAGGCATCTGAGAAAATGACATGTTGAGGTATTTAACTGAATTCTTCTGACCAACGTATTATTTTTGAAAACATTTTTTTTTATTTATTAATGATGTTTAGTGCTTTCACCGGCAAAAATGTATTTACTGCGAAGATCAATAGTTTTAAATGCTGCCTAAGACTTTTGCACAGTATTGTATCTTAATTTCTTAACAATAAATAATTCAGTGTTTTTAATACATTGTATTTTAAAAACACAATACAACACTAGACCACATATAAACTGACATTAAAAACACTTTGGTGAATGTTTAATGTGACATGGTTAAAAACCGTCCTGCATTATATTTTAACTAAAATAATTTCCATTTGTTGGGTTGCATGAATACCTTAATTCATAAAAACACCCATAGAAACTCATCTGGAACTGTGATGGTCAGGAGGCTCACAGCACACTGCAAACAAACACTGTCCATCTGTTTCTCTGCATACTTTGTTAGCCCCCTTTTACCCTGTTCTTCAGTGGTCAGGACCCCCATGGACCCTCACAGAGCAGGTACTATTTGGGTGGTGGATCATTCTCAGCACTGCAGTAACACTGACGTGGTGGTGGTGTGTTAGTGTGTGTTGTGCTGTGGATCAGACACAGCAGTGCTGCTGGAGTTTTTAAACACTGTGTCCACTCACTGTCCACTCTATTAGACACTCCTACCTTGTCAGTCCACCTTGTAGATGTAAAGTCAGAGACGATAGCTCATCTGATTGGTCATCCTCTAGTCCTTCATCAGTGGTCACAGGACGCTGTTGGCTGGATATTTTTGGTTGGTGGACTATTCTCAGTCCAGCAGTGACACTGAGGTGATTAAAAACTCCAGCAGCACTGCTGTGTCTGATCCACTCAGACCAGCACAACACACACCAACACACCACCACCACGTCAGTGTTACTATAGTGATGATCCACCACCCAAATAGTACCTGCTCTGTGAGGGTCCATGGGGGTCCTGACCACTGAAGAACAGGGTAAAAGGGGGCTAACAAAGTGTGCAGAGAAACAGATGGACTACAGTCTGTAACTGTAGAACTACAAAGTGCACCTATATAGTAAGTGGAGCTGATAAAATGGACAATGAGCATAGAAACGAGGAGGTGGTCAGAATGTTATGCCTGATCGATGGGTATATCAATATATATATATGTATATATATATATATATATATATATTATATAGTCAGGTGCTAAGAAATTTAAATTATTTTTTTTTCAGAAACTAAAAGGCATTCTGGAGATGAACAGGCAGGTTGCTGTAAAAGAAATTGGTAAGAACTTCGTAATCATTTACAGCACGTCTTCAGAGTACATCTCTTTGTGATTGTTCTGTGAGGGAGTGTCATTATAACCACTTTAACGTTTGTCCTCGAAGAAGTCTGGTATTTATAGTTACCATCCAATACCAGCCTGATCTAATTAATTCTTCATTAAATTAAATCAGGTGATGGAACTGAACCAATCCATATGATGCTGGAGAGCAGCGAGAAGTCAGGAACCAAACCTGTGCACTTCTAACCTACATATTGATAATAATAATAATAATCTTTATTTATATTTTTATGTAAATATATATATTAAGTCCAGCATTTCAAAGTGCTTTACATAAAAATTAGACAAAGAATAAATCCACAGTCATAGAAAGTAACTCGAAAAATAAAATAGAAAGATGTTAAAAAGCGCCTGTGTCATGGAAAACTTGTACTACATGTACTACACTTTAATGGGAAGACGCTCCAAACAGTGTAACATTAGCTAAGTTTACAGCTGCCTCACATGAAATAGTCACTGTGCCTTTGTACAATGAGTCAGCGATTTCCGTGATATTTATGTTGTAGAAAGGAAGTGGAACTGGTGTATGTCTTTGAGTAGACCACTGTAGTCGGGCGTCATTCTGTAGTCCTCGTTATGCCCATATTAGGAACTCCGGGCCTGAGCTCAATTTCTCTATGGCCAATAGAGAATCGCCTCTAGCGCCCCTTGTGTTAAATAAAAACATTCAGAACCCGATACGTTCTGTCCTGTGAACATTCTTCTCTCGAATATCACTGGATCCTCTGAATTACGAGGTCGTTAAAGAGGTATAATACTAATATTGCTACATGCGAGCTAAAGCTACTGCACATCAATTTGACATCACTAAGCTACACAAAACTAAGGCGGGCTGTGGCGGTGCTCTGACCAGCTGTGCTACCTTATCAAAATGTTCTACAGCAGCGCATTTTTACAGGTAAACCCATAAATAAAACCTCTAGGTAGGATATTTTGATAAAGGCTAAAACTCCTTATCAAAAATACCACCTGTGTTAAACTACAAGGCTGAATTTCGCTTCTTTTTCTGTCAGTTTCTTGTTTGAATGTTCCCGTTCCACCTTAAATGGTGCAGCAGCTGTGACTAGCTGTCACAAACATTAGCAAACGAGACAAAATACTGACCTGTCAGTTCGGTGAAACAGCAAAAATCAGTTAATGTTACTCAGCTGTTAAGCGGAAATAGAGAAACCTCCCCATATCAGGCCTTTCAACCCTCCATGAAGCTGAAGTCAACTTCTTTTTTGCAGCTGCTTGTTCGCATTTTCCTGTTCCACCTTAAATGGCGTAGCAATTCAGAACGTGACTGCTGCACCATTTAAGGTGGAACGGGAAAAAGTTGAACAAAAAGCTGGCGAATGTCCTGAGAAAATGTCTTCAGAAAAATGTTCCCAGCATTAAAATAATAATGAGGATATTCTGAGAGCCTAAATCAGTTTATCAGGATGAGCAGTGATATTAAGCTGAGTCTGTACTGGATCAGCCTGAATGCAGGTCAGTTTGTAGAGCTTTTCAAATCAAGCTAAAAGGAAAGATTTTCACGTGTTTCAGTGAGCATCAGGTGAAGAACAGAGAACTGCAGGGAAACCTGCTTATTACAAAAAAGCAGCTTTGTCCCCATTGACTACACGTAGGCAGATTCAGTGGTATATTTTAGTTTATAAATCTATGCTTGGTTTATTACCTTGTTATCTATGTAGTTTTATTTATCAAAAACTGGGAATTATGATTGCGCTCTCAAAATTTTACCATCTGTACTGAATTAGGTACTGAACAAGCTTTTAGTTATGCTGCATCATCTGAGTGGAATCTGTTACAGAAAGACTTAAAACTTCAGGAATGTGTGTCATTGAATCATTTTAAAAACATTCTTCAAACAGTGGAAGCGACTAAAACTGTCGGTATTTAAAGTAATTTATTGGGGGTTGTTTTTTTTAATTTTCTGTTTTATTTTGGTAATGTGTTATTGGTTTTGTAGGAACAACTTTCAATGTGTTGCTGCCTATTTTGGCCAGGACACTCCTGTAAAAGAGATGCTAAATCTCAGTGAGATTTTTCCTGGTTAAATGAAGACACAGTGTAAACAGGGCTGCTCCACACATACAGCATTTTAGCTCTGTTTAAGTTAAATCAGTGCTTCAGTCCACTTATTCGTATTTTGTATTTGTCGCGACTACAAATATGGCTGATGTAGTTCAGTGTTTGAGCACTGTGGTACATTACAATAACATTTTGATATCGTTTCTGCAGTAGTTCTATGGAGCAGCTGCCTCCTGTTCACCCTGGCGTCACATCACGTGACACAACCAGCAACCAGATTGTTTTTGCTACATTTTTCAATAATTTTATTGGCGTTGCTCTTCAATGTACAGGCCTAACATGGCCAGATTAGTTAATTAGCTATATTGCTTCCTTCATGATGACAGATGCAGCTTGAGCTCAAATAAACAAACATTACTGACTGCTGAGTTATAGCACCACTCAGACGTTAGATCTGTTGTTTCTCTTAGACTCATGACGTGGGCCAATAAATGCGTTTCCTGATTTTCTTAGTTTGTATGTATTTGACTCAACCCAACTAATGAAAACGCATCCAATTCAATTGTGAAAGCTAACTGTGCAAAAAATAACTGCGGTCAGCTTAAATAATTGGAATTATCTGAAATAATAGCAGTCAGGCAATTATGTAATAATGTGACAGGCCTAGTTTAAAAATGTACCATTTACTCTCCAGTCCATTCAGTCCATATATGGAAACTAAACTGCAAAAAACAGGCAGTTATGAATTCACTGTTTTTGTGATGTTAAAGCATTTACATATATCAACCTATTCAACCTACAGTAATTTAGCCCCGCCCTTCCACACTGAAGGTATAGTGTTTCAGAGTGCTTTTTGAATGAAGCACAATACAGCTCAGGCAATTGGAATAGAGCTCATTTACATTTATCAGTATTAAAGGCACAGCAACAAAAACGGTATGTTTAATTATAAGGGATAAACAAAGTTTGGAAAATATAACTTTTTTTTCCAAAATTACACTGGTAAAAATTGTCATGTAAAAACTGCTAAAAACACACTCAAATGTTATAAATGTTATAACTACATAAATGTTACGAAAACAAAAACAAAATATAAGAAAAAATATAGGCCCTATAAGCAAAGAATAGGGTAGAAGTAAATAGGAAACATATGGTAAAATGTTTAAAGCGTAGAAATAATAATAGTAATAATAATAAACTCCATAGTAATAATAATAATAAACAGTTTTATCAATGGCAGTGACTTTGAATAAGCCAGGATAAACAAGTTGATCTTTGATCTGCATTTATAGAAAACATTTATAGAGCTTGTGTTTCTTACATCCTCTGAAACACTATTCCACAGTTTAGGAGCGATATAAGAAAAAAGCATCTATTCCTAGCTTGTTACATTTTACTGTTTTTATGTTTTTTTGTAGGTAGTCTAATGTTATATATTGTTTTTCCAGACGAAAACACACTTACTGACCAATTTTCTAGGCTGTATGTCTTTTGCACAGTGCTGTATATTTAATACTGTTAATTTTAGGTCAGTTTTTTAATCACTGAGCTGCTTTTGGTGAGTTTTACTGAATATTCTTGACCTTTAAAAGTGTCACATTGATCTTTATTTTACAGTTATGATGTTTTAAGTACATCACGGTGCTAAGTTGCAGTGCTCGGTGTCTTGTGTGGAATTAGACCGGCCTGAGAGCTTTGCGGGAAAACAGAATCATGACAGAGAGAAATTGCATGTCAGGTCACACTAGCTCACATTGTCACCTTCTTCGCACACTTCCAGCGACTGGAGAAAGAAGAGAGGAAGGAAAAAGCCCGCTGACTTTCCCTGCTTTTAGAGCAATCTCCACCAACGGCACCATCAAAGGAAATGGGCCGCATCATGAAATATAAATGATTAGGTCTGTTATGAGGGAAGATGAGGCTTAAGAAAAGAGATGCAGGCTGGATGTACCAGCCCATTGTGGGCTGTGAAAAACAGCGCGGGTGCACAGAGGTTCCACCTCAAAGAAGCGGATTACAGGGGCACCGCTGGACAGAATGCCACAAAGCCACATTCTTAGCAGCGTGCGTCTTTTCTCAGCAGCCACGAAGCACTTGATTAGCATTAAAATGGTAGATTTGCGGCACTCCCGGCATCAACGCTATCCGAATCACAGATTATAAACATATCAAACGCACTGATGTTCTCAAAATGGATATTGATTCACCCACAGTGCTCGCTGACATGGATTTGTGAGGTGGCTTTATGATCTGAGAACATGCACACCCAGTTTTCACTCGTACAGGAAGACACCCGGCTTTACAGAACGTTTTTAAAGGGCCCATATCCTGAAAAATCCTCAGTGGAGAAGGGTTGATGTAAAATGTTAGTAGTTAGATCTGTGTAAAAAATGTTGAAGTTTAAAAAGTGAGCAGTACACGCAGTCCACGTATGGAAATTCATTTTGAATTTTTTGTTTTTATGATGTCACAAATACTTTTACATAAATCAGCCTATGGACCCTTCAGACGGGGCCATTCAGCCTACAGCAGTTTAGCTCCGGGCAGTAACGCTGAAACACTGTTCAAGTTTCAAGGTGTACCCAGCTGCAAAAATTTATTATTTATTTATTATTATTATTATTTATATATTATTATTTCTGTGAGGTCACAAAGTTCAGTGCATTTACATACCCACATATCTTCCAATTAAGCCTACAGCAGTTTGGCACCACCCGCTCACGCCTCTGTTATGAGGATTGTTTTTAGCCCGGACTGCCTTTTGAATGAGGCAGCCAATCAGAACAGAGCTCATTTACATATAAACATTAACAAAAACAGCTTGTTTAATTCTAAAGGATAAAGAGAGGTTGGAAGATATTATTATATTAAAGTGAAAAAATACAAGAAAAATAAAGGATATTGGTCCGTTAATGTACTTTTTTGTACATAATAAAGACTAACTAGGTTTATTAACAGGAGACCGATATTAAACATGCAAATATTTGCAGAAATATTTGAATAAAGCCAAACGTTAGCATTTTCTCCCCTTGTTGTGATCAGCCAAAAGAGTTTCAATATGCTTTTAACAACAGTCTGGAAAAGAAAACAGTTAAATTTTTATTTAGAACGAAGATACTTTGATGAACATGAAACTGAGTGTTGAACATAAATAGACACAAAGCATTAGCACAGAGCTGATTAACATCTACAGGGATTTTTTGTACTAAATTAAAAAAGATCAGCGAGAAAATGCCGATTTCAGAAGAAGACCACAAGCTTTTGACAGATGTGAAACGTCTCGTGTCTACAGGTCTGCTTCAGAGAAACCATCCGGAGATAGCCATCTCAGTGAAGACCAGGCAGGCTGCTCGAGCTGTGCTGAACAGCAAGAGAGAAACCATCAAATCACTCATGTTATTAGGACTCCTAGACGAAGTGGAATCCAAGAAACTTAAGAAGGTCAGATTTTGATTTTTGCTTGCCATCATTTGTATCAGAATTCCATTTTCATTTGTATTAGAATTCCATTTTTATTTGTATTAGAATTCCATTTTCATTTGTATTAGAATTCCATTTTCATTTGTATTAGAATTCCATTTTTATTTGTATTAGAATTCCATTTTCATTTGTGTTACAGTTCCATTTTCATTTGTATTAGAATTCCATTTTCATTTGTATTAGAATTCCATTTTCATTTGTATTAGAATTCCATTTTCATTTGTATTAGAACTCCATTTTCTTGCTCAGTAATGCAGTGATTAATGTTTCTGTGTTTGCGTTTTTGTTCAGATGATTGAAATAAGGATGAAGAAACTCACTAAGTTTCCTCCGACCATACCAGCCCCAACACCCGGGAACCTTCTACAGAATGTGCCATGGCTCCACAGTGACGTCGCTCAGATTGAGTTTATTAAGGTCAAACCAGAATTTACTCTATCAATTATTTAAGAGCATTTAGGAAGAGACATATATATATGTAGATATGTAGATATATATATAGATATATCACTGCTGTCGAAAGAAAACTACACATATACACACACATACATTTATTCCATATTTATGAATAATACACAGTTGAATAAGTGTCTAAAATAAGTGAACACATCCTCTACAGAGAACACAAACCTGCACATTTTAATGCACAATTACTGTGTAGTTGCTGTAACATATTGAAAAAAAAGAAAACAAAATGTGGCTTGAGATGTTTCATTTTTTCCAATATGTCAAATTCAGCAAATAAAAATAAAGTGTGCACTAAAATTTGCAGAAAAATGTTTTTGTTCATTTCCTATAGAGGGTGTGTTAACTTATTTTCACTCAGAAAATCAAGCACTGCAGCAGTAAGCAGTAAAGTCATAACTGTTCTGGGAGATGCTGAGTGATTAACCTGTCGCTGTCCCTTTTTCAGAAAGTGGCCAAACTGATGATTTTTGACTTTGGAGATATCATAATGCATGAAAACGACAAACCTCAAGGAATTCATCTCATCGTCTCTGGTGTAGTGAAGGTAAGGGTGACTTGGACCAAGGGAGACATGGCTACAGTTACTGTTTACAGCTGCTTGGCTGCGTTTAGCTACTGCAAACATCACGTTACCCTGACGTCCAAGATTTCCTTAACAGGACTTTAATTGTGTTTCCTGGACAGTAATTCTGAAAGAACTCCAATAGTGTATTCTCTGCCCACTGTCAGTGTTGGCATAAGAATCATTAGAAATGTGGTTTAGCTTTCTATCCTGTGTAAAATTGAGTTTTACCACTGAATCAGCAAGGCTGTATTGACCCTTATAGCTAGTTACACAAGACTCATTATGGCTCAGTATCGTTAAAGTGAAATAAAACATAAAGCAAGATGAGGTTTGGAGATGCACTCTAAGGAGTCCCCATAACTTCCATTTTATCCCATCTGCACTAACATGACAATTCTTGACCAAAACTGAAACCAACAACCAAAAAAACTGAACAATAAATAAAGACAATTTTCATAACATAATCTTAGTAAAACATTTACAGTATGTAGCTACAAAATTTGTCATGAAATCCAGCGTTCTTGATAGCAGAGAACGGTTGTTTATCCAACACATTGAGCTCCAGTATTGTTGTTGATTCTTGCTGCGTGTCTGTGGTTTGTGAATGTTTTCGTCAGTTCATAAACTGAATGTACAGATAGCGTCAGCATGTTTGCGGAGTTTCCTATCTACTTCTGCTATTTTGCTGTTCTGCGCATCGAGTCGTGTTTGCAAATCACAAGAGCTGCAATTTAAATTATAGCCTGTATTATGAAAAACATTGTCTGAGTTTTAAGTGGGAAGAAATTCAACCCTATTAGCATTTCTTGTGAATCGTCTGTAGATGAGTTCAGTGAGATGCTGCCAAACACCCATGTGCTGTGACATCACTTCCACGACTATCTGGCGTTTACTGGCAGCGTTAAAGCCCCTGAAAATGTCCCCAAATCATTAAGCCCCATGTTGACCTGTTTAATCTTTAAATCTTAATTTAATCTCTGACTTCCATAAGGGTCTTGCGAAGGCATCCTAAGGCCACATTGTAAATAACATTTTTATTATTTCATCAATATGAGTTTCCACGATAAAAGCCCAAGTGCTTCCCTGCGCTGGGCTTGAACCTGCTCTCCCATCTGGAGAACGAGTAACTTAACAATTCAGCTCAAAAACTATCCTATCAGGAACTGCTAGCCTGTAAAAATCCTTAAAACTTGACGATTACTCTCAATCTCAGTGTTGTGTGTAAAATGCGTAGACTGTGTGGTGTGTATGAAGCAGCAACGGCTTCTGTCACAACAAACCTGCATCACCATGAGGTGCATTCTGTAGGCCCATATCAATAAAATTAAATATACTTATTAATTTGTGGCTGCATATCTCTTCACAACAAAGTCATAATTTTTTTTTGCCTCTGTGCTTCAGAGTCTTAAAAAAAAACCCATGTTTAGCAGGCTACAAATTCTCCACAAGGGGGTGCCGTTAGCTGTCAATTAGCTTAGAGTTCATAAGTGACCGTGTGTGTCCTTATTTAGCCTTACAGTGCACAAAAATGTGCTTCTGTTCTGATGCAAGTAGTTTAATTATTTTTATTTTTCACAACTGTGAATAGTGCTTTTGTGTTTTTTGGCCTTGTGCTTAAAGGAGAGGTTACTTAGATTTCTGTTTGCACAGCAAAAAAAACAAACAAAAACTGCGTATTATATCGCCACTGTGCCGTTCAACAGCAGTTCATGTTTGTGTCATGCAGTACTTGCACACACGTCACAGAAACAAGAAAAGTCATTTGGTTATTTTTGAACTTTGCCAAAAATACACATCACACCTAAATAAAGCTCATAACGAAGATCATTTAGAGGCGTTTAGTATCAGGGCAGCGTTGATCTGCTCAAATAGCCCAATACAAACGGAGTGGATGTCTAACATAAGTGAGGAAAGACACGTGGGCCCACCGCTGTATAATATACCCCCTCAGCTCTGGAAGATAATGAGACTGACTAATTTGCCCTAAAGAACACACCTGTAGTGTAAGTCTTGTTTCAGCTTTAATTATCCTGCTCCCACACGCACTGAGAACCAGGGGAGAACATAACACGGAACATGCAGGTAATGCCATTAATATGTGCAAATTACACTTGATTTCTCACTTTTTACCACCTTATAATGGAGCACAATATTAGCAATTTCAACACATTACAATGCAACACTGCAATTATGGGTTATTTGGAAAGATAGGGCATAATAGGCCTTTCAGAGCCGCCACATTTACTTAGCTTTATGATGCATCAGCTGGGGAAGTGCTTCACTCCTTATAGACTTTACTGTCCTTCTGTCACATGCTGCTCTCCAGCCTGCTGCTCAGTTTAATACATTTATTTCAGTTTATATGCTGTCTGTACTCAGTACTGTCTTAGACAGACACTGTTTATCTGGGCAGAAGTGTGTTTTTGCTTGAATAAATACAAATAAACATAAATACGGTGGTCAGTAATCAGAATGTGCTGTTTTCAGCCAAATTATAAATATGTAGGTTAGAGGAACACAGTTAGAAGAACACAGGTTTGGTTCCTGACTGGTTCTCTCTGCTCTCCAGCATCACATCGATTTGTTCAGTTCCATCACCTGATTTAATTTTACCATCTGTTGCGTTGAATATGAGAGCAATGTTTAAAAAATGTTCCTTTCACTTTTTTTGCATAAAATTGACCTGATTAATAATAATGTGTCAATGGATCTTTTTGGGTTATGTTGCCATGAAGCAACATTTATGTGACAATGGAAAAAAATGATACAGAGCATCAAGGAATATGATTTTTATTTCTAAATATTTAGAATGAAAATGAAAAGCTACACTTCTTTAAATACTAAAAATGATGAAAAAAATTACTTTGTTTCCTAAATAAATAAAAACCCCAAAATTTTTATAAATAAAATGTAATTCTAAATGGAAAAATATATATAATGATTGCACTGACTAGCCAAGTCCATTTCCCCTATGTTGCTTTTAGGCAACAAACATATTTCAGTGCTTTCTACTAATTGTTTATATGGTACTGAATGTAAAGTAAATTAATTGTACATTCTAATAGAGGTTTTTGAACTGATGAAAAATTATTTTTCTTCAAGGCAAATTGTCAGGTGCAGTAATGTGTGTTGTCCAAAAGCTGCACCATCCCAAAAAAAAACAACCTGCAAATATCTCAAAATGTCCAAAAGATTATATTGTGACGAATTACTGACTTTTTATTGGGTTGTTCAAATTCCTCCCTTAAGTATTAACCCTTTCATGATCAGTAAATACGTATCATGTCATTGTAAAGTGAGGAGAATGAATTTGTTGCCCTGAGGCAACATCATGCAATAGAGGGTTAATGAAGACTTGATTAGATAAAGCAGGTATTGGACGGTCACTGTAACTACTGGACTTCATCCAGGAGAGATTTGGAAATGATTAAGATAAAACAATCACAGTGGATCACAGTGGACTCTAATAAACAATTCGTGTTTATTGAACAGGTAAATGCTTACTGCCCAGATAAATGGCGCTGGATATCATTTTCTTGGATATTTAGTACTGGGCAAAGGTTTTAGGCAATTAAGCAAATTGTTTAGATCTATTTATTTGGACAGTAACTGCAAGTTTGTTAGTAAAACATGTTATAACATTGCAATAAATGCAAACAAACATTAATGCAGTAAAAAGTCACAAACATCTCTTTATTTTAGAAAGAACTCAAGTTTAGTTCCAGGTTTCTCCTCAGTGCCCTTAACATTGCTTGGATTTGTTCAGATCCATCAGCAGCACCTGATTTAAAATAATGAAGTATTGATTAGATAAAGCAGGTATTGGACGATAAAATAATACTAGATATACTTAAAATGATTACTTTTGTAACTGATGTCATTTTTATTTATTATGAGTTTTTTGTTCTACACAAATACACATATAATATTACAATATGGTTCTTCAAGGGTTGTTTAGTAAAGAAAATGGTTCTATATAGAACCATGAACACTCAAAGAACCCTATGCATGTTTAAAGGGTTCTTTGGATCATTAAATGGTTCTTCAGATTCATGGACAATCTGTTGTATATGGTTCTATATAGAACCTTTTGAAAAATAGTTCTATGTACCAGCAAAAAGGGTTCTTCTATTGCATACAAGCTTGACATTGTGACAGTAGCAGTACCTTTTTAGTGCTATACACAATGATTAAATGGTTCTTTGGATCATTAAATGGTTCTTCAGATTGATGGAGAATGTGTTGTATATGGTTCTCTATAGAACCTTTTTAAAAATGGTTATATGTAGCACCAAAAAGCGTTCTTCTATTGTATACAAGCTTGACATCGTAAAAATAGCAGAACCCTTTTTGGTGCTATATAAAACCCTTTGCAAAAGGTTCTATATAGAACCATATACAACACATTCTCCATCAATCTGAAGAACCGTTTAATGATGCAAAGAACCCTTTAATCATGCAAAGGGTTCTTTGAGAGTTCATGGTTCTATATAGAACAATTTTCTTTACTAAAGAACCCTTGAAGAACCATCATTTTAAAAGTGTATAAATATAGGTTCTATATAGCACCAAAATGAGTTCTGCAATTGTTACAGTGTCAGCTTGTAACAATAGAAGAACACTTTTTGGTGATCTATGGAACCATTTTTTTACTAACGAACTCTTGAAGAACCATCTTTTTTTGTGTACCTTTATAAACCTAATTGGTGGAGCTACAGAAGAGGGGTTTCTGAAGTTCTAAAGTGGCCTATAGATGTATGTGAATGGTCCACCACCCAATTAATACACTGTGAGTCATTTTCCTAGACATGGATTAAACCTAGTCCTGGACTAAACAGCATTCTGAATGGAGGTTCTCTCTCTAAACAGGACTAGGTGTAATCCCTGTCAGGGAACCGACCCCCTCTGTCCGTAGGTTTGTAGACGCCAGCATTTCTTCCGAAACGAAGGTTGTTAATAATGAGTTTGTGCTGCAGTAACAGCCTCTACTCTTCTGGAAAGGCTCTAAATGTTGGAACATTGCTGTGAGGATTTGATTGAGCATTAGTGAGGTCAGGTACTGATGTTGGAGGGTCAGTTCTGGATCACTCCAACTCATCCCAAATGTATTGGGTGGAGCTCCATCACTCCAGAGAACACAGTTCCACTGCTCCACAGCCCAGTGCTGGGGGGCTTTATACCCTTCTAGGCCATGCTTGGCGTTGGGCATGGAGACCGTAGGCTCTGCTCAGTGCTTTTCTATGGAGCTGAATTCACTCATTAGAGGGGCTGTCTGAATACTTTTGGTCCTGTAGAGTTTCTGGTCCCTTCACAGAATTGAACAGGGGGGCTGACAGATAAATGGTTGAGGTTTCTTATGAAGCACAGTGTCAGATCAGGGCAGGCGGAGATCATAGAGTGGAAAAGTTAGCAGAGTTTGTCCTTAGATTCTCTCTTTCTCCATCACACAAACACGTCAGAGGGCTTTAATCCATATCCCTCCGGTCAGCACCGATGAAGTACGCACTCTCCTGAAGGAATAAATATATCAGTAGACGCTAATGACTCCACACACCGAGTATCACAGGAAGGGTGAACTGCTGGGGTTCAGTAATAAACCCTCTTTTGCTTTTAAAGTGGACAAAACACATATTACACATTACGTATCCTCTGACAGATCAGCTGCACTGATATTAGACCTAGAAAGCAGCGGGACGTGGTTCAGTTATGTGATCTCTCAGACCCTTTTAACAGCCGCGTGTTTTAAAGAGACCGTAATTACTCCTGAAATGTTTGTCTCCAGGTTACGGGGGTCCACGCAGGACACGATATGTAGAGCATTATAGCAGATTAAAGCAGATTAAAGGCCTTTTCACTCTGAGTCAGATTTTTATGGACGGAAAAACACGTGGGTTAATGCTGTCGTTCAAACTGACGAACTTTCGTAATTTTTTAATCAAAGCCTGCTAGATTTTCTGCATTGATCTCTGATGTTAGAATAATACTGAACATACTTAAAATCATCATCACTTA